TCTTTCTTTCTTTCTTTCAATTTGAGGTCTCACTCTGTCACCCAGGAGTCCAGTGGCAAGATCACAGCCTTCTGGGCTCAGGCGATCCTTCTACCTCGGCCTCCTGAGTAGCTGGGACTACTCTTCTGGTTAAGTTTGTTTTCTCTCTCTCTCTCTCTTTCTTGTTGAGTTCTCACTCTGTCACCCAGGAGTACAGTGACATGATCACAGCTCACCATAGCCTCAACCTCCTGGGCTCAGGCGATCCTTCCACCTCAGCACGCTGAGTTGCTGAGGCTTCATGCCCAGCTAGTTTTTTGATTTTTTTGTAGAGGCGAGGTCTCGCTTTGTTTCCCAGGCAGATCTTAAACTCCTGGGCTCAAGTGATCCTCCCGCCTTAGCCTCCCAAAGCACCGGGATTACAGTTTTGAGCCACTGCGCCCAGCCCTAAGTCTTCTTATTTTTTGTAGAAACAAGATCTCATTATGTTGCCTGAGCTGGACTTGAATTCCTGGGCTCAAGTAATTCTCCCCGCCTTGGCCTCCCAAAGTGCTGGGATTATAGGTGTGAGCCACTACTCCCAGCTGGCCCTGTCACATTATTTTGGACTTTTACTTCTGAGACTTCCAGTCTGGGATAATCAATTTCTGACCTACAAAACAGATTCTATCACCATGTTCTTTCACAAACAATTCGTATTATTTGTTTATTGCTTTTACCTGAGTCTCTCATAATCTGGATGGTGACGCCACTGTTAATGAGGTCCCTGAGTCCCTGCCGGTTTTGTGGTTCCATGTGCCAAAAGAGCCGTGCTACATAGATAACCAGAGTCACACGAGGGTGTTGACTCAGAAACTCTCGAATAGCCCTGGAGCACTCCCAGCAGGGACTCCAGGACAAGAACCAGGTGATGGAATAGCTGGTGGATGAGCAAAAGTGTCTTTCCGAAGTAAACTTTTCTAGAAAATTAACTTCAGCATGATTGCTGGTGTTTTTGCCAGAGTTTCGCCAGATCTTACAGCTTGTGCCCCACTTGATTTCATAGAGGAGACAGGCCTCTTTACGGAGTTCTCTGGGGTCAAAGAGGACTTCAAATTCCCAGGGTTCAATTCTTCTCCTGAAATACAAAAAAAAAACCAAAAACGAAACACCCCCTTAGAGGGACCTTAAGAATAATTTCCTGGTCGAGTGCAGTAGCTCATGCTAGCACTTCGGGAGGCTGAGGTGGGAGAATTGCTTGAGGAAGGGAGTTCAAGACCAGCCTAAGCAAAACAGGGAGACCCTATCTCTAATTATAAATATATATAGCTGGGCTGGGTGGCTCAACCTGCAATCCTGTGTCTTTGGGAGGCTGAGGTGAGTGGATTGCCTGAGCCCGCGGGTTCGAGACCCGCCTGGGCAGCGAGACCTCATCTCTACAATAAATCAAAAAATCAGCGGGGCGTGGTAGCGCATGCCTGTGATTCCGGCTGCTTGGAAGGCTGAGGCGGAAGGATCGCCGGAGGCCAGCAGGTGAGGCTGCGGTGGCCGGGAGTGGCCACTGCACTCCAGTCTGGGCGACCGAGTGAGACTCCAACTCAAAAAAAAAAAAAAAAGGTAACAGAGTGAGACTCCAACTCAAAATAACTAAATAACTAAATAACTAAATATATATATATATAATAGGCCGAGCTCAGTGGCTTGGCCTGCAATCCTAGCATTTTGGGAGGCTGAGACGAGTGAATTACCCGAGCCCGCGGGTTCGAGACCAGCCCAGGCAACTTGTCAAGACCTCGTCTCTATAATAAATAAAGAAAATTAGCCAGGTGTGGTAGCTCTGTGCCTGTAATTCCGGCTACTCGGAAGGCTGAGGGGGAAGGATCGCTGGAGCTCAGCGGGTCGAGGCTGCGGTGGCCGGGAGCGGCCACTGCACTCCAGTCTGGGCGACAGAGTGAGACTCCAACTGAAAAAAAATAAAAAATAAAAAAAATGTAGAGACAGGGTCTCATTATGTTGACCAAGATCATCTTGAACTTTTGGCCTCAAGCAATCCTCCTGCCTTGGCCTCCCAAAGTGCTGGGATTACTGGCGTGAGCCACTGTGCCCGACCTCTTGTTCCCCATTTCTATCTGGCAGATCTGAAACATGACATCTCAGGAAACTTTTCTTTTCTATTCTGTGTCTCAAAGCCCTCTGGAGGAATCCATATGAATTATCAGATTTTCTTTCACAAACATAGTGAAGAGATTTTTTTTTTCCCGGTTACATTATTTGGTGACTATCTCTAATACCACAATGTTTTTGTCTTAAATTCAGGGATAAGCGCGTCCTTTTTTTTTTTTTTTTCTTTTTTTTTCTGAGTTGGAGTCTCCATTCCGTCGCCCAGGCTGGAGTGCAATGACACGCTCATGGCCACCCTGGTGTCAGCATGCTGGGCTCCAGCGATCCCTCCGCCTCAACCTTCCAAGTAGCCAGAACTACAGGCATGTGCTACCATGCCTGGCTGGTTTTTGGTTTATTGTAGAGATGAGGGCTCACCAAGTTGCCCAGGTAGGTCTCGAACCCGTGAACTCAGACAATATACACGCCTCGGCTTCCCAAAGTGCTGGGATTACAGGCTGAGCCACCGAGCCCAGCCTGCCAACAAACTTGTATTGTCCAGTCTGAGAAACGAGTAATATAGCCTCGAAGGTCTTCCATGATAGAATTCTATAGCCTAATTCCTCATAAAAAAGGAAATTCTGGCCAGACACAGTGGCTCAAGCCTGTAATCTCAACAATTTGGGAGGCCGAGGCAAGAGGATCGCCTAGCCCAGAGGTTCAAGACCAGCCTGGGCAACTTGGTAAGACCTCGTCTCTCCAATACATAAAAAAATTAGCTGGATATGGTGGCACACACCTGTAGTTCCAGCTACTTGGAAGGCTGAAGTGGAAGGATCGCCTGAGCCCAGCAGGTTGATTGAGGCTGCAGTGGCTGTGAGTGGGCCACTGCACTCCAGCCTGAGCCAAAGAGTGAGATTCAGCCTCAAAAGAAAAAAGGAAATTCCAATTGCTCTTAATGGCATCTTTAGCTCTAGCACTCCCCATGCCTAAAAGCTGTGACTCAGAAAATTCAGAACTGTGCTGAGGACTGTTACTGGCAATATGTTTAAGTCACAAGCTTATACATCCTCAAAGTTCTCCCTCATTGCTAAAGTGTCACATGTAGTATTACACAAATCAGTCCTTCCACCTATTATGGGATAGCACCTTCTTTGACATGGTCTCCCCAGGCTGTGTCTGAAAAGTGGGCAGATAGTATAAAATGAAGAGGAATTCAAAGTGACATATGAGATCCTCTGATGGTTCACTAATGGCTATAAAAACATGACTTAAAAAGAAAAAAGGCCGGGTGCAGCAGCAGCTCAAGACTGTAATCCCAGCACTTTGGGAGGTCAGGTGAGGGGATTGCCCGAGCCCACGGATTCGAGAACAGCCTGGGCAACTTGGTGAGACCTCATCTCTACAATAAATCAAAAAACTAGCTAGGTGTGGTGGCACGCATCTGTACTTGGGAGGTTGAGGCGAGAGGATCACCTGAGCCCAGTAGGTTGAGGCTGTGATGGCCATGAGCATGCCACTTCACTCTAGCCTGGACAACAGAGTGAGACTCCAACTCAAAAAAAAGAGAAGGAGAATAGTAAGACAATAGCAGAGAAGCAAGATACAAGGTAATTTAAACAGAAACAAAAGACATAAGAGCAAAGATATAGAAAACTATGACCATAGAGAATGAAGTTGGATCTGGGAGCAAAGGCTCACACCTGTAATCCTGGCACTTTGGGAGGCTGAGGTGAGAGGATTGCTTGAGTCCAAGAGTTTGAGACCAGACTACGTAACATAACAAGACTCTGTCTCTACAAAAAAATCAAAACATTACCAGGGCATAGTAGCGTGCACCTGTAGTCAGAGCTACTCAGGAAACTGAGATGGAAGGATTGCTTGAGCCCAGGAGTTTGAGGTCGCAGTAAGCCGTGATTGTACCACTGCACGCCAGCCTGGGTGACAGAGTGAGAGAGTAAGACCCTGACTCCTAAAAAAAAGAGAGAGAAGAGAATGAAGTTGGAAAAGGTAAGATGAAAGAATGAGAAGACAGTATAAGAGGAAAGGAACACTTGAAAGGCTGAGGCGGAAGGATCACCTGAGCCCAGCAGGTGGAGGCTGCAGTGGCCATGAGTGTGCCTCTCCACTCCAGCCTGGGCAACAGAGTGAGACTCCAACTCAAAAAAAAAAAAAAAAAAGAGGAAAAGAACAATTTTTTAAAAAGCTATAGTCCTACAGCTCTCAAATACCCATTCATTCTTGACTGAGTTCCACAGGCACTGCGACAGCATCATTCTTACCTCAGCGTAGGATCACCCATCGAAGGACCTGTTGATCAAGAGATGCTTATGTCAAATAACACCCAGATACCAACCGAGTTGCTAAGAAAAAACGCTCTTCTTCCAAACCTGCAAATCATGTCAGAAAATGGAATTAGAAGATTTTCTCGTGGATTATTTGTATTGAACCAGTTCACTGCACCAAAGAAAGCGAGATTGTTAAGGTCTCTGCTGCGATCCATCTGCCCAGCTGGGAAATTCACTCCCTCGAGGCTCCTAGGAGTGATTTCAGCGTCACCTCATGGTGTCCTGTACTTCCTCCATCAGAGCAGTTAGCATGCTGTAGCATGACTTCCTGTTTACATGCCTGAATAACACTGAATTGTAAATTATGTGAGATATGAATTATGTGTACCTTGTCCCAAACCCTACTGTACTGACTGAAACTGATTAGCTAGCAATATGAGAGGGAGGCCCCCCCAAAACTTAGAATTTATTCATTTGTTTGTGTGTTTATTTTCTTTTATTTTGAGTTGAAGTCTCACTCTGTCACCCAGGCTGGAGTGCAGTGGCCAGGTGATCCTTCCAAGTAGCTGGAACTACAGGCAAGCACTACCACACCCGGCTAATTTTTTTGATTTATTGTAGAGACCAGGTCTCACCAAGTTGCCCAGGCTGGTCTCAAACCCCTGAACGCAGGCAATTCTCTCACCTCGGCCTCCCAAAGTGCTGGGATTATAGGCTTGAGCCACTGTGACTGGCCTGGAATTTATTTATAAAAAATTGTGAGGCTGGGCATGGTGGCTCATGCCTATAATGCCAGCACTTTGGGAGGCCGAAGTGAGAGGCTTGCCTGAGCCTGTGGGTTCAACACCAACCTGGGCAACTTGGCGAGACCTCAGCTCTACAATAAATCCAAAAAAAAGCTGGGTATGGTGGCACATGCCTGTAGTTACAGCTACTTGGGAGACTGAGGCAGAAGGATCGCCTGAGCCCAGCAGGTCGAGGCTGCGGTGGCCGGGAGCGGTCACTGCACTCCAGTCTGGGCAACAGAGTGAGACTCCAACTCAATAATAATAATAATAATAATAAATAGTGTATTTATTCTTACATGTTTAAATTCAGTCACTTTCAAAGTATTCTTCGTTCAGGGCAATACACCTTTCGAGATGATTTTTCCACTAATCAGAACAGTTTTGAACTCCTTGATTTTGATGCCTTTTAGGACTTTTGCTGTTTTTGTTTCACTTCTTCCACATCGGCAAAACATTTTCCCTTGAGGTCCTTTTTCATTGAGGAAACAAAAAACAAGTCACTCAGGGTGAGATCGGGTGAATAGGAAGCGTTGGGTACAGAAGTCCCATTATTTTTGGTCAAAAACTGCTGAACACTCGGTGAGGTGTGGGCAGGTGTGTTGTAAGGGTGGAAGAACCTGTTTGCCAGAACTCAGGATGTTTCTTTCACAATTCATGAATCAACTTTCTAAAAACTTCCAGAAAAAACTTCGGTAGATCATTTGATCCGGGGGAAAAAATTCTGAGTGTAAAACAAGGGTCCATCCTCCAAAAGATAATTCCGGGCTTTTGGGGTGCCTCCTCATAGACATACATATATATTGAGTCAGGGTCTCATTCGATTGCCCAGATGGGAGTACAGTGGCATGACCACAGCTCACCACATCGTCAAGCCCCTGGACTCAACTGGTCCTCCGGCATCAGCCGCCCAAGTAGCTGGGACTATACCACACCTGGCTAATTTTTTTATTTTTTGTAGTGACAGAGTCTCACTGTGTTGTTTAGGCTGGTTTCGAATTCCTGGGCTCAAGCAGCCCTCCCATCTTAGCCTCCCAAAGTGCTGGGATTACAAGGGTGAGCCACCACACCCAGCTGGCAATAGATATTTATTGATCAAATGATTGAACGAATTTCATTACTGTCCCACTACAAACATATTTTCCCTTTCTTTATTTTTCTACCTTATTTAATCTATTTTGTTTTTTGCTTATGTTTTAGCTATTATGGAACCCAATAGCAGTAACATCTTTATTTACTTCAAAACTCACATAACTTTTTTTTTTTTTAATTGGCATCTCTGTCGCCGAGACTGCAGTGCAGTGGCACATTCACAGCCACCACAGCCTCTACCTGCTGGGCTCAGGCAATCCGTCCAAATAGTTGGAACTAAAGGTTCATACCACCACGCCTAGCTAATTTTTTTATTTATTGTAGAGATGAGGTCTTGCCAGGTTGTCTGGGCTGGTCTTGAATCCCTGATCTCAAGCAATCCTCTTGTCTCCACAACCCACGGTACTGGGATTACAGACGTGAGCCACCATGTCCCACAAAACCCACACAATTATTAACATATTTTTGTCTCCTAATTCAGAAGTAACAAAACTCTAGTGGAATAAATCCAAGACCTATAATCATAAGTCCTAGGAAGCAGTAATTCTTCCAACATATGTCTGATGTCAAAGTTCTTTTCACTATGCCAGATAATTTGCTAGTAAAAAAAGGAAAATTTAGAGAATTAGTTGTATCAAATCAATCATTTAAAAATCAATAATTTGGCCAGGCTTGGTGGCTCAGCCTGTAATCCCAGCACTTTGAGAGGCTGAGGCCAGTGGATTGCCTGAGCCTGTGGGCTCAAGACCCACTCGGACAACTTGGCGAAACCGCATCTCTACAATAAATCAAAAAAAGTAGCCGGGCGTGGTAGCGCGCGCCTGTAGTTCCAGCTACTTGGAAGGCTGAGGTGGAAAGAACGCCGGAGCCCAGCAGGTTGAGGCTGCGGTGGCCGGGAACGTGCTGCACTCCAGTCTGGGCAACAGAGTGAGACTCCTGCTCAAAAAAAAAAAAATCAATAATTTCAGCCTGGTGACACAGTGAGACCCTCAACTCCAAAACAAGCAAACAAAAAATATAAGATAAAAACCTTTCTTTCTTTCTTTCTTTTTTTTGGAGTTGGAGTCTCACTCTGTCGCCCAGACTGGAGTGCAGTGGCCGCTCCCGGCCACCGCAGCCTCGACCTGCTGGGCTCTGGCGATCCTTCCGGCTCAGCCTTCGGAGTAGCCGGAACTACAGGCGCGCGTTACCACGTCCGGCTAATTTTTTTATTTTATTTATTGTAGGGATGAGGTCTAGCTGCCCAGGCGGGTCTCGAACCTGTGGGCTCAGGCAATTCACTCACCTCAGCCTCCCAAAGGCGCGAGATTACAGGTTGAGCCACCGAGCCAGGCAAACCTTTATATTTTAAATAAAGAAACCAAAACAAAACAAGAGCCCCCAGGTATGGTGGCTCACACCTGTAATCCCAGCACTTTGGGAGGTTGAGGTGGGAGAACTGCTTGAACCCAGGAGTTCTGAGACCAGCCTAGGCAACATAGCCAGATCTCATCTCTACAAAAAATTTAAAAGTTAGCCATGCGTGGTGGTGCAAGTCTGTATTCCCAGCTACTTGGGAGATTGAGATGGGAGGATCACTTGAGAGTCACTTGAGCCCAGGAGGTCAAGGCTACAATGGGCCATGATTGTGCCATTGCACTCCAGCCTAGGTGCCAGAATGAAACCCCAATTCAAACAACAACAAAAAATAAACCATTAGCAATCTGAAGTGGTTGTGGCCAACTCACCATAGCTCTAAATAAGGAGATGCAAATTAAAACCACAATGAAATATTTCTATACACCTACCAGAATGGTGAGATGTGTATGAGTGAGTGAGTGTGTGTGTGTGTGTGTGTGTGTGTGTGTGTGTGTGTGTGTGTGACCCCATATGCTGGTGAGGATGCAGAGAAACTGAATCTCTCGTACTTTGCTGTCAGGAATGTGAATTTGTATAGCCATTCTGGAAAACAGTTTGGAAGTTTGTTTTTTTTTTTGAGTTGGAGTCTCACTGTCACCCAGGGTGAAGTACACAGTGGCACATTCACAGCCACCACAGCCTAGACCTACTGGACTCGGGTGATTCTTCTTTCTCAATCTTCCAAGTAGCTGGAACTCCAGGCGAGTGCCACCACACCCAGTTACTGTTTTATTTATTGTAGAAACAAGGTCTCATCGAGTTTCCTGGGCTGGTCTCGAACCCCTGGGCTCAGGCAACCCTCTCACCTCAGCCTCTGAAGTGCTGGGATTACAGGTATGAACCACCACATCTTTTTTTTTTTTTTAGAAAGCAGGATTATTAGCTGGGCGTTGTAGCGCGCACCTGTAGTTCCAGCTCCTTGGAAGGCTGAGGCGGAAGGATCGCCGGAGCCCAGCACGTCGAGGCTGCGGTGGCCGGGAGCGGCCACTGCACTCCAGTCTGGGCGACAGAGTGAGACTCCAACTCAAAAAAAAAAAAAAAGCAGGATTTATTCGAGAGGACAGAAAAGCTCCCATAGTGGGAGGAGACCCAAAGGGGTTGCCTGGAAGTTTCTTAAGAAAAAAAAAAACTAAACTAAAAATGCAACTACCATATTACCCAGAAATTGTATTCCTGAGTATTTATCTCAGAAAAAGGAAGACAGATGTTCACATAGAACCTGTACAGTTATGTTCGTAGCTGTTTTATTTGCAATGTCTGAAAAATAGAATCAAAGCTGGGCATGGTGGCTCACGCCTGTAATCCCAGCACTTTAGGAGGCAGAGGTGAGAGGATTGCCTAAGCCCACAGGTTTGAGACCAGGCTGGGCAACTTGGCAAGACCTCATCTCTACAATAAATTGCTTTTAAAAATTAGCTGGGCATGGTAGTGCTTGCCTGTAGTTCCAACTATTTGAAAGACTGACATGGAAGGATTGCAGGAGCCCAGCAGGTTGAGGCTGCGGTGGCCATGAACTTGCCACTGCACTCCAGACTGGGCAAAAGAGTGAGACTCCAACTCAAAAAATAATAATAAAACAAAGGAACAAACACACGCAAACAAACTAAATGACCACCCAGGGAAGTATGCTAAGAGAAAGCCAATCTCAAAGGTTGCATACTGTATGATTCCATTTCTATAACACTTCAAAACAACAAAATTTTTAGAAAATACTAAGTGTGACCTGAAGAACACATCCTTTATTCTTAAAAGAAGGAACAAGCCAGGCACGGTGGCTCATGCCTATAATCCCAGCACTTTGGGAGGCTGAGGTGAGAGGATTGCCTGAGCACCGGGGTTTGAGACCAGCCTGGGCAATTTGGTGAGACCTTGTCTCTACAATAAATCAAATAATTATCGAGGCATGGTGGCACGTGCCTGTAGTTCCAGTTACTTGGAAGGCTGAGGTGGAAGGATTGCCTGAGCCCAGAAGGTTGAGGCTGCAGTGGCCGTGAGCATGCCACCGCACTCCAGCCTGGCAACAGTGTGAGACTCCCA